CATCATGGTTGTTGAACAACTTTTTGCAACTCTGAATGCCCGGAAATAATGCTGACAATTTGTAGAGCCGCTAGCCCCTCCCCTCAAAGAAATAAAATTAACACGGCGATAGAGTCTATGTTGGAAATATGGTATCCCTGGATACCTGGAAATACAAGCTGGCAAACCTGTATAGCCACCACCCCTCCCCATCCTGTCTATTGGCAGACAAAAATTTGAAGTTAGTGGGGACTAGAGATATACCCATCTCTGCCTCATATGTTTTGGGCCAAGTTGAGCAAAATTTTGGCACCATACAGTAAGTTATTGTTATGAAAATAGGCCTATGTAGTACAATATACTGTACATCGTACATTTACTAAATTTATCTATATTGAAATATTTGCTCCCAGCGTACACTATATTCCATATTCTAAGTTTCGTGGCATGAATATATCCCATAGCAGACTTGAGGGTGTGTGAATAATGTTCATGAGGTACTCTCCCATATATACTGTAGGGCCTAATACTACTGTAATAGGAAGAATTTTTTAAGGGCATCATAATCTTACTGGTATGACTCAAGAAAAACAGAGATAATAAAGGCCTATGCCCTGTACATGATGCTAAAGAGTGGGCACAGAAAAAAGCAACCAGGTTAAAAATGCTATATCTGGACACAGAATGTGGTACGGTACTGTGCATTGACCAAATTACAATTCGTAAGATTAATTTAAATCATGGGAATAGGCAAATGTAGGTCTACTGTGAAAATGATATATTGTTCAAAATGTAATTAAGTTGCTTATTCCTCCATGGATAAATAAAGTTCAGGAAACACGAATATGTACAAGGAATAATAGTGATAACTGTAATTATATCTACACGACGTGCAGTATTGAGAAATACTGTATGCAATCAATTAAATAGGCCTAGAACATGTTATATGAATACACATGATACAGTATGCTATGAATTACAGTATATGGAAATACAGTAGGCCTCCTATGCCCACACAAATAGCGTCGCGTTTCGACAAACTTACTGCTCGTACAATTTAATTTACACTTACCAAATTCAGACTGAAGTATAATCAATTATCTATCACGCTCCAGGTCAGTTATACTATCACTTGAATTGTTAAAATGCTGTAATTAAATCCTGTGTTTTCTTCTGGTAGACCTTACAGCGATTACACTCAAGCAGACCATGTAGATACCTGTACCTCCATGTACAGATCTAACAGGTGATATAGACAGAGCACACATTCAAGGGCTACCGTATCCAGCTTTTTTGTAAAAGAGTGGGGAGGGGCACAATGTTGTTAAATGTGGCTAGTTTTACAGGGGTTCCGTGGTCATACCGTGGAAACTTTATTTACCTGGATGCCCAGAAAAAATATGAAATAATTATGATGATGATGATGATGATGAAACTTTGTTTAAAGTCAGTCCAATTTGTAATCAATGGAAAATAAAGGCCCCGGTAACGATGCAGGGAAAAATCCCCTAGAAAAATCAGTAGTTTCGATTTGGTACAGCCTAATTTGGGTTGCTATATTTAGTCTTATAAAATAGTAGGCTAGTACTTCCAGAGAGCAAAGCCATATCTTCCCATTGAGCACGGGGACTAAAAAGCTGGGCAAAAATTTGATGGTTCTGGTTGTAGCGTATAGGCATGTTTGGTATTGATTTAATTTTAGTTATCGTTGCTTTGCATTGCATTGGAATTGTTGATTTTGTCGGGTCGCCAACCCGTTAAATCTCGACATCTCCAACCACCACTCGTCTAACACCACGACGAGGTCATCGGACTAAATTAATATCCAAATCCAATCAAAGATGTTATTATGATTGCTGTTCCCTAATATTGTAGTCTAAAAGTATAATTTTGGGATGCCCGAAAATAGCAACTGGCAATTATAGAGCTAAATACCACTCCCCAGCAAGGGGCAGAAACAGCATGCATGATGTGAACAAATTATGAATTTATAGCATCTGTGATACCCAAAAATAGCATCTGGCAACCAAGAATAGGAAGTAATCAGGGCTGGCTTTATCCGCATAAGCCTTGTGTGGTGACTAACCCCAACATTTCATATATAGTTAATTGTAATATATGTTTATACTGTACCTCTAAACATTGTCAATATTACAATTTTTTTTGAGGGTGTAGACTTCTGTTATTTGCCATTCTCTCTTAGGCCTATTTGATATTTTTAATTGTAATATTTAATATGTGAAACTGAATGTTTATTTAATTTTATGCACTGTATTGTTAATCTTTAGACATTTATTTTTTATATCATTTTGTATTTTTATGGGGGCTGTTTTTTTTTTTTTTTTTTTTTTTTTTTTTTTTTTTTTTTTTTTTTGTGTTTTGACACACTTATGGGTCTTTAATAGAAAAAAAAAATCAAAAAAATAAAATATGTAATAATATTGAAAAAAGTGGTCCGGCCAAAGCCGGTGCGGCCGGTGCGGTTCCGACGGCTCTGGATGTAGAATTTGATATTGAACATTTGGTTCGGTGGATGAAAGTGAATCATCAAATGCTTATATATTTAGTACATAATACAGATACACTGTTACGTAAATAATAAAAACTACTGTTTTGTAAATTTAGTGACAGTAGATAGTAGAATATATAGCATAAACAAATACATATACTCTATCTTACCTAGAGTTATAGACATTAGATATCCAAATGTAAAGTATCCAATTTCAGAGGTTGACCATAGTAGAGGTGGCCCAATAAAATAGAGCATCGCTGCAACTCCGCTTCCATTCATCATAAACGACGTCAAACAACAGACAAATAACCAGAAAATCAACCGCGACCGTCTGTTGTTAGTGTTTCTTACGACGACTTGTATCATATCTGACACAACTTGTCCAATCGTACTCGTCGTTGATTGATTTCTAACAACGGTTTCCTTGATATAAAACACGATATATAGAAGACAAAGAAGTAGCATCACTCCCATGAACACAAATGTTGGCGAAAAGCTTGAATACTCAATCCACAATGAGAATCCCAACTGGCCTAACGCTAGGCCTAACACTGCGACACCTTGGAGAACTGACAATCGAAATGTCAAATCGTCTCGTCTAACAGTGTCACTAACATAGGAAGATGAACCAGAACGTACAAGAGAAACGCTCCCCGTGAAACCTATCGCTAGATTTCCTGGCAATAGGTACTCTATGGGTAATGCATAAACATAAGTCATAATGCAATTGATCGTCGCAATAATATAGCCAATGGTAGGTAATACCATTGTGATCTTTCTTCCGACTCGGTCGCTCCAAGTGGAGACGTATAGAGCAACAAATAAAGCTGGAAGAGATTGGCAAGCCACAAATATGGTGGTCCATTTGGATACAAGTACTTGTACTTCTTCCACAGTATAACATGTTGCCATAGTAATATTAGGTAAACACCCTGCATTTAGTTCCAACTGTATTACGTACTCATTGAATAGTACTGCAAGCGTTCTCAATAAAGTGAACGCAAGTGATATTATTAGAATCACGAGTTCCACGGTGACTTGAAATCTAGCCATTTTACGTAGGCCTAGGCAGTGTCATGGAAATTTAACAAAATACCAGTTCACACTAGTTATTTTAAAGCAGAGACAACTATACAAGGAGATTGGAAACGCGACTGGATTCTATTGTTCTATAGTTTGTGATACATTGTGCTTCATTGATATGCAAATAAGGTTGTTCGAACCGCGAGTCCACACACAAGACAAGCGGATATTTCCGTGGCAGCATTGGACGTATAATTAAAAAAAAAATTAAACACTTAATTTGGCAATTTCTTTGAAAGGTAAGATACATAAACGCATATATTGTAACTTAAATGTTTAAACAATTTATGGTATGCGTACAAGGCTAGTAATTCGGCAATCTCTACCCTCTCAGCCATCCTCTCAGGCTTAACCGGGTCCCGACACTTGGTAAAATGCCTGAATTGAAGAAACACACTAAATCCATAGTACAGTTTACACGCATTTATAAGCACATATATGTTCTGAAATCATTTACCACAACAGAAAAGGTATTTTTTTGTGTACCTAAGTCATGTTCAGAATCAGAGAATAACAGAGGCGTATCTAGGATTTAGCAATGGGGGGAATGGCTAATGCGATTTGCGAAGCACGAAGCGGGGGAAGGGGCGTGGTTTTGACATGGGCGCACATCTGTTTCGAAAGGTGAAATAGGGGGGGGGGGACATTTGGGGGGACATTTTGTGATCCCACAAAATCCTCAGACCCACCATGGTTTGGCCTGAGGTGCGAAAATTGTAGGAAATAGTAGCTCTAGATGACCGGATATGACACTTTCATATAAAATTCATCGTCATCACATCACATTTATATAGTAAACAAATTTCACATGATTTTCGGCAACCATAGATGTCTAATTAATATGTGTGATGTACTATAGAAAATAAATATTGAAAACATTGCCTTTGATGTACTTAATTTAGGCCTACCTACTTCGAAGCCATTAGTCCACACAAGGGCTGAGGTGGGAACATTTGGAGAAAGTACCTCTAGATTACCGGAAATGACACTCTGTTATAATAAAATTCATCATCATCGATCGAATTAATCGCTGAGATGTTCCATTGAAAATAAAACTCAATTGCCATTGATGTATTTTTAATTTACTTTACCATGTGCTAAAAACCAATCTTATTATTGTTATTACACGCTTTTTTCATACTTCTCAAATTATAATAAAGGCACGCGTACAAGAATCGTGTATTATAAGTAATTCAGATGTTAGTGGGTTAATTAAATAACACTTAATATCTATGTTGCATATTAAGATTAGATTTAAAATGTTTATAGTTTTGTTGATGTCTTAATTCATACGGCAAATTGTTCCAGAGTGAAGTTGTCATAGTATATAAAACAACGTTTATATATTCCAAGCATACTGTACATATATGCAAATATAACAAATAAAGTTTTTACATTAAACACAGACAAATTTATCTGCTCAATGTACGTCAGGACTTTGTTCGATAGACATAAAACGGTACATTAACACATTACTTTTATGAGCACTCAATTATTCTATTTTCGTTTGACTAGTTTAAAAAATCTGTTGTCATCTGGATGCCAATTTATTTAATTTACTTGTTACTCTTATAAATGACATACTGGCACCTAGGCTTTAATAATGTTCAGTGCGATAATATCAAATTGTAAAATTGTAATGATGAATCAAGTATAATGAACAGGTAGAATTTGATATTGAACATTTGGTTCGGTGGATGAAAGTGAATCATCAAATGCTTATTAGTACATAATACAGATATACTGTTACGTAAATAATAAAAACTACTGTTTCGTAAATTTTGTGACAGTAGACATAAGTAGAATATATAGCATAAACAAATACATATACTCTATCTTACCTAGAGTTATAGACATTAGATTGCCAAATGTAAAGTATCCAATTTCAGAGGTTGACCATAGTAGAGGTGGCCCAATAAAATACAGCATCGCTGCAATTCCGCTTCCATTCATCATAAACGACGTCAAACAACGGACAAATAACCAGAAAATCAACCTCGATCGTCTGTTGTTAGTGTTTCTTACGACGACTTGTATCATATCTGACACAACTTGTCCAATCGTACTCGTCGTTGATTGATTTCTAACAACGGTTTCCTTGATATAAAACACGATATATAGAAGACAAAGAAGTAGCATCACTCCGACAAGTATCTGAGCGTCGTCAACAATATAACATGTTTGTATATTTTAGGCAAACACGTTGAATTTAGTTAAAGTTCTATAGGTACTCAGTGAAAAGTATTGCAAGCGGTGTCAACAGAGAAAATGCAAGTGACTAGAATCACGAGTTCCACGATTTTTAAATCTAGCCATCATGTATGTTACACAATATCATGGACATTTATTAAATGCAATTCAAACTGAAAGTTTCGCGTTGACAGCGAAACTACTGATTACTCGCCCGCTAAAAAAAAGTCTAGAAACGTGACTAATGAAGACATGAAGGATTTGATTTCTAAGCTCCCTTGCACTGAGATAGCTCACCTTATCTTCTCTCTTGTTATGATATTTCTGCGTCACTAGGCCATGGAGGAACCATATAGGCTATATATACATTTTATACGTTATATATTTTATATACGTTTTTATTATATTTATATATTTGAACATTAAAGGAGGTCTAACCGGGATTCGAGGCACGTGCTCTCTATTTTCATAAGGTCCAGCAGGCAAGAATTTTACAAAAATATTCATCCAAGGATAAATCGTGAGTGAAAGGCGTGCATATAGGGTCGAATTCATATAAACAAACAGGGTAGAGTACAATAGTCCGTTTTTGATCCTCTGAATATGCAAATGGAAGAGGTGTACTGTTTCTACAGTAAAGTAAACTGCATCTGTAAAATCTTAAAATTTGGACTTAATAACGGCATGACCTTTAAACTCTTCTAAGTCATTGCTGTCGCAGAAAATTTTAAATCGGGTTTTACGCTTCATTGAGTGATATTAAATACAGGAAGTCCTTTATTGTTCTTTCACGACAGCAGAGTACCATTTTTTGTAAATCGCATATACAGTACATTTATATGGTTACGGTAGGCCTACGAAGGCATTGATATGTTTAGCACGTGGTCCACATGTGGCACTACACATACACTTGTAATCTTAGTTGTTTGCTTCTGCCTAACGCTGATGCTAAGGTATGTCTACAGTGAGTTTGTGAGATCAAATCTACCTGGTCCTCGGGGATGGCCAATGGTTGGAAACGCCTTAAGTATAAGCCGCCATGCACATTTGACGTTCACTAAATGGGCTAAGCAATATGGGCCAGTGATCGGAATTAAGATAGGCCCGATGCACGTGGTGGTATTGAATGATTTGTATGCTATTGAATCTGCTTTATCTAAAAACACAGAAATTACCAACAGGCCGGTTCCTGGGTTGTTAAGAGCTGCGTTTTCGAATGATGGTAAGTGTTGAACACTTTTTTTTCTCTCCTGTACTGTATGTCTATTTTGTCTTTTCAGTTTGTAGGCCTACTGTCTACCTTGTGCCCCTTAGCAGGACCTACTTCGACATAGGTTATTTTAAAGTAGGCCTATCCTCTTTTAATATAGTTGGCCTAACGTATTGTGAGCTATGTCGTGCCAAGTGAAGGTTTGTAGTCGCCGAAAAATTGATTGGTTTATGTTCTTTCTTCATGAGTTTAGATCAGATTGTTTTTGCTAACACTCATAATTTTTAAACTTTTAATATCGAGGATAATATTCTCCCTCTATCTCTTAAATTTTATAACAGGTAGCCTGCTCTGGGAAAATGCTGAGAAGTGGATAAAGAACAGGAAGTTTGTTGTGCGATTTTTGTTCAATTTCAAACATCGCCAGTTATGGCACTTACTCGAAGCCGAGAGCAGACAACTCTGTGGAACTATCAAAGTTCATGATGATCAAACGCTTGACGTCTGCCAACCAATGAGTATGGCTGTATCCAACGTCCTCTGTGCCTTGTGTTTTGGGCATCGCTTCGAGTACGACGAGGAACGTTATCGGTTACTTCTTAGTAACTTAAATGCATTAGGAAAAAGTGTCTCGGGTACAACAATTGGTCATTTTTTACCTTTTCTATATTATACGCCTTTATATAGAAACTTTCGAAGACTGGCAAAAACGTTATCAGATTTTATAGACAGTGAAATAGATGAACATATTAAGACTTATGACCCGAAAAAAGGCACCCTGGACTTAATCGATATGTTCTTGAAAGAGGAATCAGATGGTAAAAGTGAGCACAATTTACAGGGTGGATGGACTAGGAGAACGCATAAATACATAAGAAGGGCAGTTATTGATATGTTTGCCTCGGGGACTGATACCACTAGTACCGCCTTGGCATGGGCCATACTGTACATGACGCAACATAGAGACAAGCAAACTGCAGTGAGTAGACTAAGAACTGACTTTTATCAGTTTTTCCAATCTTCTAGCATAGAGGACAATTTATGACAGTATTTTATGGTTTTAACCACGGACAGAATTCTGCTATTTAGACAGTTCCCCTTGTTTTTTTATGAATGTATAAACCAATACAGATTTATACATTATTAATATTAACCGGACCTTTTCTATCCACGTCTCGGAAAAACGACTTGAAATTCGCTTTTACCATTTTCGACACCTTATGAAAACGACAACGAATACGTCATTATCATTATTCGTGTTTAAAACATTCATTTTTGACAATATGGTGAAAAGCAAAAGGCAGGAATCGCCTAAGTTGTGACAATCTGCTACTGTGGGGGAAGGGTTGTCTAAAACTATGATGACGTATCCGTATTCATTATCGTTTTCGTAAGCTTGCGAAAACTGCCTAATCTCTATACAGAACGGTTCATCCATATACATTTAATTTATAATGTTCATTTATGGCTCTTTATCAGGTTCAGAAGGAAATCGATGCCGTAATGTGTCACGGTGGTCTCCAGAATCTTGGATCTTACTATAAAAACCTGCCCGTGACACGCGCTACACTCATGGAAGTGTTACGTCACGCTAACATTTCCCCTCTTGGACTGCCGCGAACAGCTTCACAGACAACATCAATCGATGGTCATTGCTGCCCTCGAGATACATGGGTGTTTGCAAATATATGGTCCGTGCACTACGATGAGAAGTATTGGCATGCGCCAAACGAATTTCATCCAGAGCGGTTTCTCTCCGCCGACCACAAGTCAGTTATCGCTCCTAAAGCCTTTATGCCTTTTGGCTTGGGTAAGAAATATGAACCTCACATAAAATTGATTGTTTCATTTAATTCCATTCTTTATGTCAGCAGGTGTAGCCTCATGTAATTACTGACGATATTATTTTGACGAAACCGCACTGATTCACCTTCTTATGCTTTATTTAAAACAACCAATTCTCTTGTTTTCAGGTAAGAGGTGTTGCATTGGTGAACAGATTGCTATGGCTACCATGCTCGTTTTGTTTTCGAAGTTGTTGCTGGAGTTCGATTTTCGTATCCCGGATGCTGATCCAACGCCAAGTCTTGTTGGTATAAATGGACTGACTCTGGCCCCAAAGCCATTCAGAGTTTGTGCAATCCCACGCTAGACCTCCGCATCAATAATGTATCATTATCATCATCCTGGGGGAAAACCTATTTAAAAAATTCGAAGATTAAAAAAAAAAACAAAAACAAGCAAACAAACAAAAAATAAATAAATATTTGTCTACTTTACTTGGTACTGGACTTAACATTGTGTGACAATTCTACTGGCATTGCTGGTCGCCGATTCCATCCGACCCCCTAAAAAATGGGGGGAAATGGGGACATATTTTTTAACTAAATTGACAGGCCTCTTGCCTGTTTCAGAATCTGAACAATCTTTTCAGAAAGTGTTAAATTTTACAATTGGTCGATCGTGTTAATCTTAACATATTGAAAAGTATCAATTTTTGAGGAATCATGGTTGACATTGGAGAAGTGTATGGTGGTGATTATGGGTGTCATGACCAATACTCAGCATGCTGATCCGACCAAGATTGGAAGGAATGTTACCATACTCCTAATCTGTGTTTAAGTGAAGCACATGGTAGTGTTTCTCATTTGGACTCAAATTTAAACACCATGGTAGCAAGTATTATCCATATACTGTACTGTATGTACATCTAATATACTGTATATACATATATATATATACACAATATATATATATATATATATATATATATATTTATATATATATATAAGTTTAAAAGGCAAATGGGAAAACCCCATAAAACAGCAAACGGCCATATAATGCAAAACAATTTAAAATTAAAATTAAAACGGTAACAGTAGAGAAAATCCGATCAGAATGACAAAATAAACTATTTGTTTCAGGCAAGAAAACATAAAGACGTCCTGCCAGCCAGGTCACCCTGCTCACACAACTGACATGCACCCTTACAGAAAATGGAAGATTTCTAACGGTTTGCAAAAATCGTTGGTGGTGCTTTTTACATGCTCTATTAATGTGTTTACAAAGTTTCCTGCCCATCAAACCAAGCGGAAAAAGCAACCCACTACTGTATTGTTGAAATAAATATACTGTACTTAAAAAATAAGCAAATAAATGACTAGAAAATAAGAAGAATTGTAATTTAATCTTTATTGGTGTTCAGTCAGTCAACAACATGAGTGCCAAGGAATCAAGTTCATGAGTTCAATATTTGACAAATCTATTTAAATATAAGATTTGCTAAAATCAAATTTAAATTCAATTAAGTCAGTCTCATATAATCAGGAGTGCCATCCCACAGCTACTTCACCACTTTACTTAAATGATTCCTGCCATGAGGTTTAGTTCTACCAAATGTCTTGAAACAACTCCTATCTCTGTTGGACAAAGCATGCCTTTAGTTTCACCATCATGTTCTGATGAATAATGTGGTTTGCTTCTTCTAGATGTGTCAATACAATTAATAACCCCTATCTTTGCTAGACAGAGCATAACATTTACAACACAGTTTGATGAATCCTGCCATATGGTCTGTACACAATCTGCAAGATATCTCTATAAAATTCTATTAATACTGCTCCATCTCTGTCGGACAGAGCATGTCCTGAATGTCACCACCATGCTCTGGTGACTCCTGCCATGTGGTTTGCATCTGCCAGTTGTCTCCACACGATCCTACTAACCCTCCATCTGTGTTGAACAGACCGTGCCCTTGAGGTTATTGCACATCTGTGACGTATACGAACGTAGTTGCTGTCTCGTGGCATGGCTATTACTTCTCTGTGGGCTTCTTCCTAGTGAGATAAATATTGGTATGATTATTATTTTCATTATAATGACATCATTTTACTATGGATTAATGACTGACATAACATTATTAATTTAACTTGTTTAAGCGCCTTTCACATCTACTCATGTTGCAGTTCAGGTTCCGTTTTCAGTTCGGGCTGATGGCACACGTTAGGAGGAACTTGCGTCGCGAGTTGTATCGTAATGTTTATGTATTGAAAATAAGTTAGTTACTTTAATTTTTAGTATCATTTACACATATTCTATATCAGTAGTTATAGTTCAAAATACTAAACAGCACATATTAGGCCTATGATTTAGGTGCACGGTACGTAAGCCTAGGCCTACCGATGGTGAGTTCGTTGAACTCTGCCTTAGTAACTTACATAAATAGTCTAGTTTTTGGTTCCTTCCATGTTTTAGACAAAGAATATGAATACCTGATGCGATAATGGTTGACAATGGTGCGGTATCATAGATAGATACAGTAGGCCTATATTTAGTAAATTCATAATCCTTTTAATTAAATTCATATTATAGTATTTAATGGCATGGTTAATTTATAGATCAATTTTCCTTGTCAGTGCACATGGAATAGTTACGTATGTTTTCTGCTTAACTTATTCTCAACAGAACAAAAAAAAAAAAAAAGGATTCAAGTTGCGATGAGAAAGAACTGATTGTTAGTTTGTTACTTGGAAACCGGAATAAAAAAAACAAGAAAAAGTTCTGTGCAATTGTGTGAAAAATTCTGATTGGTCAGAAGTCTTCAGGTTTCGAATCCGGCAGAAGAAAAATCGCTCTAGGACCGACTTGTTCCAGTTGCCAGATGCGGGACCCATCCACCGGATACCCGATCGGAGCAGATGTGAATAGAATACATCTTCAGAGTTGTAAGAATAGAAGCCTGATTTCTTAACCAGTACCGGAACTGGAAACGGAACCTGAATAGATGTGAAAGGAGCATTACTTTTATTTCATTTGATCATATGTATCCCAATAAATGTTCAAATCTCTAACTTGGGCATACATATTTTATGGTTTAGGATGACCTGAAATTGTGTATTTATCCAACATTAGGGGCTGACAATAAAAATAACTATGTTTGGATCTACAAATAATTATTTTTAGTCTGACTACCTTGTTGTGGCATCAGAGGATGTAAAGTCCATGGTTATTGGCAAGGGAGCCCTAACCCCACTGTTTACAAGCACCTTGATGAAAACCCTAAATATTAACATAGAGTGAATAAACGTTTTGTTTTTTTTACAGCACGTCAGAAAAAAGTTATCGAAGTGCCTATAAAATGTATTTTATAGTACCTCTAGATGGGCACTACTAGCATACAGTGTAGCAAACATGTAACTGGAATGAAATCATACTCAGCATATCGCCTGTGCATTCTAGGAGTAGTAGTATATTTTGTCTAATATTTAAATTGTTATGTCATTTCTAAGATACAAATTAACTTCATTTAATGACATACATACTTGCAGCTCTGTGGGTAATATGTCATTTTTCCGAATCAGATTGATATTTCTTCTTTCTCTACCCATCTCTTTGACAAGCCGTCGTCTTTTGACATCACGCAACATCCTCCAATCTGCATAGCGTGTTCTGACCGAGGTAACCTGACTGGTGTGTGTTGATAACAGAGGTTGCCTGATAACTTCACCAACCTGATTTTAAAATCAATTGAAAAATTCTATACAACAATGAAATTAATTAATTTTATTAATTTTGTCTAATTCCCTGTGGATGCAACATTTACAGACATGCCATAAATTTTCGTACCTATTGCATAATACATTTGTTATATTTTAAGATTAGGTCAAACTCTAATTCTCGGCAAAATCTATGAGGAAATTGGCCCTTTTCTCTGAAATGTACGGACAGATTGCTAGGCCTAATATTTGCGTGGAGGATGTACTACAGTCTGTCAGACACAGAGAAGTAGTACACAAAATCGACTTCTGCACTCCTGGTTATGTGAACCATATGCAAACTGTGTAATTTTACCCTCACAGATCAAAATAGCAAATGTAAATTGACAGTTAGATTTCTCCTCAAACGATATTATCTTTGTTTGTCTAAATTTCTGTCTGATGTACTGTATTGTATTTTTAAGCTTTCCTCTTAGTTAGGCATATTTTACATTGCTGTAGCTTTGAATATACACATTCATATACAGTACTGTACACTTAATTTTCGTGATCAACAGTGAGGGCGCAGTCCATATATCTAACCCAGAACCAAAGATATGGCTCTGATCTAACCTAGGTAGGCAAACTCCTTGCATAGGCTAGACCTATTAGGCTAGTCGACGGCCCTCCTGGACTGTTGGATCTCAACAGTATGGCTGGACAGAGAAAACCAGACTAGCTAAGCTAGGCCTAGAGGCTAGGCTAGACCTAGCTACACAGTTAATGCCTTAAGTTAAGAATGTATATTATTACGAGTTAGGCAGCATTATTAATCGTATTTTTTTGTTATTGTTGTGGTACTAGGCCTATTTTCTTCGAAACCTGGTTATATACAAACCTGATACAAACATCTTGCAGTCATGTTCGCCACACGACTACACAAGGTCGCCATATTTGTTTCTTGTATACCGCCCCCTATTCTTTTATTAAAAAGTCTCTACTACTGCCATTTGATTTTTTCTAGATAGCGCCCTCTCTAATTATTTCTCACATGGATACGCACTAGGCGTTTGTAAACAATAGCGCAATGAGTGTCGTTTCCGTGCAATTGTCTCCGTAAAACGTTGGAATAGGTGACTAAACTGATATTTTGTTAGATTAGGCTTCTTATCTGCTTTTATATAATTTTCAATTACGTCCTAGGTAAGCTTAATTTATCCAGGAGATAGCCACTTTCTTTTATTCAGTATTTATTCTAGCCTGCTACTGTGTCTAGGCCTAGCCCCCTAGGAAGGAGGGCCAAGCTAGACGAATATTATTGATGCCATCCATGCATGGTTTCGGTTGCCGAAACGGTTCTACACCGTCAAGGCCTAGTCTAGGGCTAGGCCCTAGGCGTAGTAGGAGGCCGGCGTAGCTTACATACAGCCATACATAGGCCTACATTTTCTTAAATAGCCTACACCATTTGTACTACTACTACTAGGCAGATGCTGTAGGCCTACATAGATCCAAAAACTATGAGTAATAATAGATAACTTTAATAGCTCTTTTGGTGAAGCCTTTGTTTGGGTCGTTAAAGAAATTTATTATAAATATAGAGCTTTACTAACAGTGAACTTTACAGATGTCAATAATCAAAGAATTTTTTTTATCCCAACTAAGATGTTTTTTTAATGTTGAATCTTTTCTTTCTTTTTTATTAGTAATCTTAGCCTCTGCTGGCCCACATTACATTAAGGATTAAATGATCACAATTTATTTCTTTTGGACAGTCCCTTAAACAAAACATTTTTTCTAGATAAATTGCAAAAATCTGAGTTTTTCAACATACATTAGTTTATATATGAAATGCAAATTATGATTTGTAAAATTAAATGTTAAAAAAAAACCCAGTAAATTTAAAAATAAACTGATACTACAATTTCTCCTAGGTTACTATTAGGGCCTACTAAGTAAAGATATTCTATTTTCTCTTTTAAGACCCGAGATTTTCGGGTATTTAGCAGCATTTTGTCTGTAACTTGTAGCTACAGTTATCCTTTATTCTTCTATTGTTTTGCCACTCTGCTGCATCAAAATATTTGTGTATTTGTTTGTATTTTTATTGATGAAATAATATATTATAATACAGTATATATATAATATTATGGTTTCATTTATTATTTCAGTTTGTCATTTTTATAGAATGCCAATTTTCGTTGTACGATCAACCTGATTTGTTGATGAAATTGTGTTTTAAAGGAAACTAAAAATGGGAGATGATAAGGTATTACAAGTAAGATTTGTTATTTTTTAATATGCTGTGGAAACCTTTCAAATATTAAGTATCCGTAAACTTACAGTCGTTACAACCAGATTAACTTACTCAAGCTTTGATGCTTACACTATAACCTTCCCTTTTGGTTATTGGTCTAGGTTAATATTCAATTATTCCTGGAATATACAATTTTACAATTCAATTTATTAAATGTATGTAATAATTCACTTCAACCAACCAATGTTGGGATTTTTTAAATTTTAATTCTTGATATAATAAACAAATTCATAGCCTATATAATTATAAATTCCCAAATTTAATTAAAAAAAATTCCCTAATCCTATGCACACTGTAGGGAACACTAATATGTACGTATGAACAGTGTAACATTAATGAAATCCTTCAGGGAGTAAAAAGTTGTAAGATTGATTTCATCAAAGCGCTTCATATCCTCAAGAAATAACTTAAATCTAATATAAAATAACTATGATATAGATATAATATATAATGTAAATAACTGCTCATAATAACTGTAGCATTAACAAGGTTGTGTGCACAATGTAAACTGTATATAAATCATTTAAAATGTGTCATTTATGGTTTCTCAACATCAAAGGTGCGCTCTGCTAACTCAAACCAAAAATTCAAACCACAAAACAGAAAGAAACTAACACAACGAGAAGTAAATGCTTTGCCACCAGTCCAGAGAGGTAGATACTTAGCGGTGAGTATTGTTTTTCACTAAGAGTGTATTTCTGCAGGCTAAGAAAAATGGTTTTTAGGAACATTTCTTTCAAAAAACAATTTCTTGTGGCAATAAATACTGGCTCATCCTGTGGCACAAGTTCAATTTGGTGTCCAGCATGCAGGCCAAGAATGATAACTTGTGGCGCAAATTTTAGTCCTCGGTTGTCCAGTTATCAACCACTGATGGAAAAAACTTTCAGGTGTGGCGCCAGGATTTTCCCAACCGGGGGTCTGATGTCCTCGATGAGAGCAATGTGGGTGTGGTTGGGCATCTTTCCAAAAGTGGTCCAGGGACAAAGCCCTTGAAAAATGTGACAATTTAGGTGTTTCAAAGGCTTAATTTTAATCGATTTTATAGTCTGTAAAAAATGCGTATAACTTTTCTTTCTCCCCGACGGGGTGGGGGGGGGTCAGCTCTCCCCCAACGGAAGCTCAAAGGCCTATTTATTTGATTTTAGAGTTTCCAAATATGTGAAAAATACCTATAATTTTTTTTCTTCACCCATTTACCCCCCTGCTGGTGCCAACCCTGAACTAGAAGCACATCCTAAGAAAATATATTTGTAAAATGTATTCAGTAAACTGCATATTAGGCATTACAAAAAATTGATGGCCAAGTCCAATTGGCTGATCTAAAATCTCAAAATTCTAGGGCTTGATTTATTTTTGTTCTGTATTTTTTTTTACTAGGACTAAAAGTAAACTTTTGTTTATAACTGTATCTCAATTGAAGAAAGGTGGTACCCGATTAGTGTATTTCATCCTATTTAAATAACAATTCAATGTTGTTATAGATTTTTTTTAGAGTTTTTAATTTTACCACAAATAATATTTAATATATTTATGTTTTGTTTCAGTATGAAGAACCTTCTAAATCTACATTGGAGGCAATAGCTAATTCTAAGAAACGAATTCAAGAAAAATCAAAGAAATTAGCAGATATTGAAAAAATTCAAAATGTTGTTGATCTAGAAAAGGAGAAGCACAGCCAACTTATAGGCCAGTTAAAGTAAGTTGCATTTAATATTAGCATAAATTTATTGAATATTAAGCATAATTAATGATGTGGTATGAATAACATTATATTATTGTATCAAATATATCAATTAATCAATAGCATAATTGAGATCAACATTAATGAATAAAAAAAATGATTAATTAGAAACAAGTGTTTAATAAACAATAAATATAGTCACATAATTATTTATTGTTTATTAAACAATAAACTATAAATATGTGAATATATTTATTGTTTATTAACAATAAATATAGTCACATATAACTGACTTGTAAAAGTATTTAATAATATGAAAATTTTCTTTACTTTTTGAATAGAATATGTATACAATACATATATAGCTTTGAAATCTACCATTAACAATACATTAATCAAGAATTGTTCATGGTTAGATATAATGGTTATATATTTTTATAGCGCAAAGTACTGAAGTCTCTATGCACTTAATATATGGATTACTAAGATAAACTGCAGATCAGATTACATACAGACAATGAGATCTCTATCATCATTTCTGCATCACTATGAACGTTGATGTCATAATTACACTTGAGGGTAGAAATACGATCAGTTAACCTTCTTAAATATCATTTTTTATGACACAGATTTAACTTGATATGTTGCAAAGTAAACATTACTCACGAAAGGCTGGTATATTGTTAATGGTGTAACCTAAAAGCCATGTGTAACATAAAAGCTTGTGTTTATGTTTTTTTTCGGGATATTTTTGATGATTATGTCATCATCATTAAACTGCAAATAGTATTTGTTGTTTTTGTGTATTGTTACTTTCCTATTAGGGTAAATTGAAGGGAATGCATGTGTTTTGCGATATACCCAAGAGAGGGAAAAATCTCATATTGGCCGAAATTAGTACTGTTGCTCCAGTTGTGGCTTCAGAAATTTGTTGACAGGGGTCCGACTGCGGCCAACATGTCCAACAATGGAATTGAAACCAAGGGCCGACGAGAGCCTCGATAGGGGTCCCGGAATAATAATTCTTTGTAGGGTTCATGGGGAGAGTTTTATGGCTTAGTATGACACATAATTTGTGCTTTTAGACCACAACATTAGGGATTGGCAATCAAAATATTGGATAGGCATATTAATATTTTTGGTCCAGCGACCTTGTCGTAGCGTAGGTCAACGGAGGTCCAGGCCTGTCCAATCATGTTGTAGTACAAAGTGTACAGACCAATTGATGCATTCAAGGTCGAATTATCCTACCATACACTTTAATAAATGAGAGACAAGATAATATGCATTTATTGGCAAAAAGATCCAATTGTTAATGATTTTAGATTTCTAAAGCATGCTGTGTAAATGTGTTAAACTGTGTAATTTATAAGTTAAAGCCAGAAGATTAGGCTGGTTTTGGTCTGAGGGGGTGTGAAATGGCCTGGGTGTGGGGCTGCGAAAATTGTGGAACTAAATTCCTATTCCAATGAGAACTTAACATTAGTCATACTGTATTTAGCATTTCAGTCCATCTTGAAGCCCATAGTTGGTTTGTAGATAATATAATTTTAAACATCGAAAACTCTACCTGCTAAATTGAGAAATGTGTAGGAAAATGATTGACTGAGCTTTATTCAATATATTTATATTTTCATTTTATTTGAATTTTGTAACCAGAGCAGCAGAAGCAAGGAATCGTTTGCGTGTCATAAGACTAAGATACCAGACAAATAGAGTAAGTAATTTAATCACCATTTTTTATATCGCTTTAAATTTATTTATTCCAGATGGTTTTACATGTGATGTTATGTTATGTGACTAGAAATCATAATATTTTAAACACAATAATATAAAACAATGTGTACTACTGTACGGGACCTCGAGTCTGTGAATCCCGTCCCATTGTCTTGTGTTTGATATCTCTGTATTGTGATGTTTTTAACTGTATGATGAGATGCAATACAATGAATAAAGTACATACATGGGAACATGTTGAAGGAAGTTAACTCATGTATTAAGTAAACTTCTATCAATGCTACTTTTTCTAGGCCCAGGAAGTGAAGCACTTGATATCGTGCCAACCTACAGCCATCAAAGCTGTTCGTCTCCAGGTTTTAGTTCCACCATACCCTGATGCTGAGAGCCCAGGAGATAATATTGATAAGCTTGAAGTAAGCAAAAATTTTGTTTTTTGTGGTTAAACATTGTGCTACATTCATGAAATAGAAAAATGAATTAAGCTTAATATTTTATAATTATAAGTGAAGCTGTAACAAAGTGAAGCTGTAACTTGTGCAGTGAAGCCGTAACATGGCAGTGAATCTGTAATTGTGCAGTGAAACTGTAACATGGCAGTGAAGCTGTAACCTGTGAGTGAAGGTGTACATTGTGCAGTGAAGCTGTAACTTGTGCAGTGAAGCTGTAACTTGTGCAGTGAAGCTGTAACTTGCCACTGAAGCTGTAACTTGTGCAGTGAAGCTGTAACTTGTGCAGTGAAGCTGTAACTTGCCACTGAAGCTGTAACTTGTGCAGTGAAGCTGTAACATGGCAGTGAAGCTGTAACTTGTGCAGTGAAGCTGTAACATGGCAGTAAAGCTGTAACTTGTGCAGTGAAGCTGTAACATGGCAGTGAAGCTGTAACTTGTGCAGTGAAGCTGTAACATGGCAGTGAAGCTGTAACTTCTGCAGTGAAGGTATAACATGGCAATGGTGTTGTAACTTGTGCAACAAAGCTGTAACTTGCCACTGAAGCTGTAACTTGTCAACGGTGCTGTAACTTGGAAGCAAAGCTGTAAAAAGATGTTACAGTCATTGCTAGTTACAGGTTGTTACATTTATAACTGTAATACAGGTAGCAAAGCGGACATAGGCAGTGAACCTGTAGCTAGGGCAGTGGTGCTGTAACTTCGGCAGGCAGCCCAAGCACTGCCACACAGTGTCTGTTCAGTTACAAAACTAGTTGTTTCATATATCACTGAATTGCTGTAAAATTGATATGCTAATGAGATACAAATTTTAATAGTTAATGCATTATTATGAAATATTTATTAATGCAAGATGGTTGGTAGCCATATGGTATGTGCTTGCATTTCAGTGAATTTTAACAATCAAAGATAAAACTCAAAATTATGTTTGCTCCATGGTGCATCCAGAATATTCTTTGTGCTGTAACATGGCAGTGAAGCTGTAACTTGTGCAGTGAAGTTTGCTCTACGGTGCATCCAGAATATTCTTTGTGCTGTAACATGGCAGTGAAGCTGTAACTTGTGCAGTGATGTTTGCTCCACGGTGCATCCAGAATATTCTTTGCGGTGTAAAGCCGGGCAGTCACTGTGCCGCACGAAGGTCATACAACCGTCGTACAATGACTCCAACTCCGCTTTCTGTGAGCGCGCTAGACGATGCAACGCCACCAACTGATTGTCGGTGGCAGACTGCGCTTATCATCATTAAAAACGATTCCTTGCGCACACGTCATGGCGTTGCGTTCTTAACTTAGACGTTAGAATCATAAATTAGGCTGTAAAGCTGCTACTTAGATAATGGTACTGTTTTGGGTAGTAGTCACCTTTTGATCGGTCTCAATATTTTACAAAAGGAAAAATTTCTCGGAGTGTAATCCGACCCCGGAATTTCCCGAAACGGAAAATATGGTAGCTCAGAGACGAGAAGGAGAGAAGCATGTTAATGTACGAGCTAGTCTACACCTAGAGCGCTATGAGACTGATATAGAGCAATATATAAATCCACAGAGTCGCGTCGGCTGATGACCATCAGGCCCAGTTGAGTCCCTCGCTTAACTTACACACGTTGAAACCATAAATTAAGAAGTAAACTGCTACTTAGATAATGGTACTGTCTTGTTTATTAAAGTTGAGACTCTGTGTGTGGTTCTGTAACTTGTCCAGTATGTAATTTTGTTAGTGAAGCTGTACATTTTGCATTAAAATGGTATCCTGGGGCTATTTAACTAGAGCAATGGAGCTACAACTATTAAAAATATACAAGTCAGTATCTATCAAATCAAGTTTCTAAAATTAAGTTTCTAAATTTCAAAATACCATATTTTTTATAGATCACAGAATAACTCTAAATTGTTGGTAAATGATAAGTATTAGAATAGTTACTGCATTTTGACTTGCTTATGAATATTTATTAATGCAAGAACGTTGATGTACCTTATTGTCCATGTTTGCATTTCAATGAATTTTAACAACCACATTAGAAAATTTTATATCTAATCCATGTGTTTTTAGAAATTATGTTTCTATTATAGTTCATCCACATATTTATAAATATTCATTTACAAATAAATTCTAATATCAGTTTTACTAGCAGAGACATGGTTAATCCTTTTATAGGACCCCTCATTTTCTCTAATCCTACTTATCCTCACATCTTTTTTTCCTCCTCTTTATTTCTTTTATTTTCTACCAAAGGCTTACTTTATTATATCATTCCTTATACACTCTATTATTTTGTTTGCCTATTTAGTTCCCCCACAAATACAAACATATTAATCTTCACTGTAGCCAAATACAGCAACATGACTTCAATAATTATCAATGATTTTCCATATGATTTGTTTGTTTACATAAAACAATGTAATTGCATATTAAGAGTTAATTTGAATTTTTAATAAATATGGTTTACCCTTCTTGTTCTTAGCGTAAACGAATTGAAGAACTGCTTGAAGATGAAGCTTGCTTGACAACAGACAGAGAACTGTCATGAGAACGCTGAACATGAGATCAATGAACAATCTCTAAATTTGTGGCATCTGTGAGATGAATATGTGAATGCTTTCAGACTTCATCTAACCATGATCTAACTCGCAAATTCAACACCTTTCAGGAAATACATTTTGTTTTCTTGGAAACCTATAAATCATGGATGCATTTTAACACAAATATAAACTGTTGTATGACTTATAATTTTTGTTGCATGCTTCTTGTACTATCATGAATTATAATTGTTCGGTAAACAGATATTTAAAAAAGATGTGTTGACCATAACAATATTTAATGGATTGTGATAACAGAAAATGGCAGATTCATTGCTACTGCTAAATTTACTACAAAAAAGTGCAATATTTAAGAAAAGTTATCTCACCCCCCCCCCCCACCCTGGACAGCCAAACATTTACCATGCATTTACATAGTGATGGAGTACGTTTGAAGATGTTTGCAATGTTGGGACCTTGTGTCTATGAGCATAGTGGTGGATCCAGGAATTTGAAATAGAGGCGGGGGGGGGGGGCAGAGAGGGACTTTCACAAATGGAGGGTCTATACTACCTCAGCCCCACCATAGATGGGGCTGAGGGAAGAAACTTTATGATTATGGCACCTCTACAGGCTGGAAATGGCACTTTTCGACGCAAAATTTGAGTAGAATTTTCCTTTTTTCTCAATTTAAAAAAAAAATTTGGAACAATTTAGGGTGGGGGGGGGCGCTGGTCGAGTGGTCCCCCCTGAATCCGCCACTGGAGCATGAGTGTCCAAGTTCAAGAAATATAGAGTGTAATTAATTAAAGTAGTTGAATTGTATAGATTATAATTTTACTGAATACCGAAATGCTCGAATAAACGCTGCTCTCGAATAAACGCCGCTTTCGAATAAGTTCCGCGCCAATTGTGATTTTTTTGGCTAAGCGCCACTCTCGACTAAACGGCGGCGCTTAATCGAGCGTATCATTATTACGCTGTGTGTAGAAACACTTTGAGAAACAGGGTTTTAAATACGATGACACAGTGTTAAAATGAACAAATAATACAATGAAGACAAGCATTTCTTTATAAACGTTTATTTATGATGCTAAGACCTATGATAGACTACTGGAATATGTGAAATAGGTAACCATGGGAACGGGCATAGAAAGCGCCTCGCCAATTTGTTTTTATAAGCGCCGCTCTCGAATAAGCGCCGCACTCAAGCCTCCACAAATTGTATAAGCGCCGCGTCGCTTATTGGAGTATTTACGGTACTGCAATCAATCTGCAAATTTAATATCGGTAGATCAAAAGTAAAATATGGTAGGACGGTGAAAGTTCGGTATATTTTGTACAAAATAAATTAGGTTGTGTTAAATATTAAAGGTAATAATGTTAGTAATTACAGTGTGACAATAATTATCGCTAATTTTCATTGATATTTTCTGTGTGCATAATGTTTTTTTTTTTGTTTTTTTTTTTTTTTTTTTTTTTTTTTTTTTTTTTTTTGTAATTAATACCACTAACCAAATTTAAAGTAATAAATTAGTAATTGAATTTGTATATCTTAATAATTTTAATGTTTTAGTGTATTGTAACATTCTCGCAATTCAGTTTCCTTTTTGTAAGTTACGCAATGAGATGAAATAAATTAAACTTGAACTTGAAACTTGAACTTGAACCTCCCAACATTGTAAATAAGCTTCAAAAATATAATGTGTAATAATCTTGTCATATGAATGTAGATATTTTCAATTTGTTGTATACCATATGAATGTGTTAATAGGAACAAGTGTTTAGACATATGATATACTGTATGTTTGAATTTAATAATATTTCGAATAACAGATAGGCCTATACTTCTTTGGCATATTACAGATATAAAGTACTTCTTTGTCCGTCTTTTGAAACAAATTTCTTTGTCCGTCTTTTGAAACAAATTTCTTAATATGACGAATAAAATTACCCTTAAAATAACATTTAAAATGTAGGTTCTTTTGAAATGTAATGGTAGTTGGACATCTGCAATCCTTATAAAGATGAAAAAGAAAAACATTTTATGGATATTACTGTCCGTTGAGTCAGTAAAGCTTGGAACAATAAAATCTAATGTTTCAAAGTTATAAATCAAAATAAGAAAAGAAAATATTTTTCTTGACACACTATGTAGACCCTGTGCTTGTAAATATTTAATGATTTTCGTAAATGTCTGTAAATCTGCGAAAATGAAATAAAAATTAACTTGCGATCTTTCTAAGTGAGCGATTCTTTATTATTCTTTCTGTTAATACAATTTGTTATTGTTTAAGTGAATTTTTGAATAACAATTGAAAGCAAACTGTGAAATTATATAATAACATTTCGTTTTTATTAGATTTTACTCTTTGAATCTTTGTTGTTCATTTGTGATACCCTGCACGGGCTTGGTAAAGCTATGACCTGACTTGTATGTTACATTCTTTTTATTGTTTTGAATAAAGAATGATTTCATTATGAGATATAGATACATTAGCTGTTATGTATTTATCTCTTCATTTTTTTTTTGAATTGAAGATGAGCCATCCCGTGCCATCTCTACTACCATCACATATACTGAAAGTAATTGCGACGTGCTGCTAGGAAATTAGCACGCAATATGCAAATGTTGCAAAGACGTTACCTGAATTAAGGTTATCGTGTTGGTCTCAACCTGCAAAGTTACTCTAAACAAACAGCAGATGTTCGAAATACATCACATTAGCATTAAATGTATGCCGTTTTACATATATATATCTGTCTCTTATACACATCTAGATGTGTATAAGAGACAGGAATGAAGGTAGTCTTAACTCTATTTTCATAAAATATCAAATGACAAGGATCTATTTTATGTTAATGAATGTTTCGTATTCGTGCAAAGGGGCATGGCATTCATTGAAAGATAGACTATTCCATTTAACTTAGCTCCGCCTCGCAATCTTTCAACGAATGAAAATTTTCTTCCGATTGCACTGATAAACATTCATTATTTATATGTATTATTTATATGTACCTTGATTTCTGTCGTAGCCTGGATTCCATAGCCTTCAGTATCGTAGTTCGCAATCTGAATATTATTGCACATCGCTCCATTATCTTTGACCCACGTTAAGAGATTTTCAAGATTGTCATCGCGGCTTTCATCAAGAAACAACTTATGAAGGCCTGAAAGAAAGGTTTGGTGTTTTTTTTTTTT